GAGGCCTCTGAAGTCTTGCCTAATGGATCCAAGGACATTACTCAAGGAAGAGTCTCCTCAACAGACCCCTCACTACTACTCTGCTTTTGGTGGAGTTTCTGGTCTGGTCTGGGAGCCTAGAAAGCAGGGATTGTTCAGGGAATTACATAGTCGTCAGGGAGAGAGCTGTATTTTTTAAAGCATACACATTAGAATTCTTAATTTTCTCACCCCCACCCACCATAGAGTCCAACAAGGAGAAGCTATAGGTTGGGGTTCAGAAACACCCAATAGCCACAGGGAAGTAGTGTGGTATCATACACTGTCTCCACCTAGTGTTGATGACAGTCGAGGGACCTATGCGATGCCGCCTGGGACCCTGGCCATATTTAACCAACCAAATGACTTGACCGGGCCTTGAACAAGCCACCCGTCTAACCAGAACAGAGGATTAAAGAGGTGTGTTGTTAGATGTAGGCGCAGCATGCAACATTGCTCAACCTCCAGGAGTCCTGTCTCCCAACGATGCGGCAAACACACGTGGGAGAGTTCTCCCTAGTCCAAAAATGTAATTAACCAGGGGTGGGTGCACCATCCCTTCTCATAGGCCGTGGTGCACCTGGGAGCCATTTTGTTTCATCCCTTACTGGTGACCCCTCCAGTAGGGGTAATCCTCTGGTCCGGTTCACTAGGTCACTGGCACCTCAAGCCCCCCCCACTACGGCAAGGCGGCTACCACTAAAGGGTACATAGGCGATGGCATGCATACCTCGGAATACGAAAACCTGGATCGGACCTGTCTGCGCTGCCGCCACTGAGAGGCATGCTAGGGATCAGGGAGACGTAAAGACAACAGCTGAAATTCTTGTAGATGTATAGATACACATTCTGACAGAGAGAGAGAGAGGGGGGAGAGAGAGAGAGGGAGAGAGAGAGAGAGGGAGAGAGAGAGAGAGAGAGAGAGAGAGAGAGAGAGAGAGAGAGAGAGAGAGAGAGAGAGAGAGAGAGAGAAGAGAGAGAGAGAGAGAGCGAGAGCGAGAGCCAGAGAGGAAAAAAAGAAAAGTAAAAACCAAAAGACAGAGACCATTTTCGACTTCCAAAAAGAGAAGCAGCCGAATGACTCACCTCCCAGCAAAACTCAGTTTCAAAATTTCATCCGCATGCGACCCCCCCCCCCCATTCCTCCCCTCGTCTTCTCCTCTCCCCCACTTCCCCTCCTTACCCCCTCTTCACCTCCAACCAACAAACAGGCAGAGTAGGACGTCATAAAAAAGTAAAGGGAATCCCCAAAGCAGGATGGTGCATTCTGGAGCCCAAGGCACGGGTCGTCTTGCTTTTTTTCTTGGCAAGCATTCTTTACGTCCGTTAGCGTGGGAGAGAGAAGACTGACAGGTACGGAGAGAGAGAGGAAGAGAGGTGGAGGGGGAGAGAATAGGAGAGAAAGGAGCAAAGAGAAATTGGGGATGTGTAAAGACAAGTAAAGGGAAAATAGATGGGGGGAGGAGTATGGGATAGAGAGAAAAAAGGGATAAAATAAATAGAATGACAAATATAGATCTATCAAACACATACGCACACACAATGCAATCAAGAGAGAGAGAGAGAGAGAGAGAGAGAGAGAGAGAGAGAGAGAGAGAGAGAGAGAGAGAGAGAGAGAGAGAGAGAGAGAGAGAGAGAGAGAGAGAGAGATTGACAGTTAGAGGGACCACGGAGAGTCGGTTGATCTCGTGACAGTGGAACGAACAATGACCTCTGCGTCATGCAATGCGCTAATCTCGTGAGGCGTCGGATTTGTTTCACTTCTTATCTTTGTTTCACTCGTTAAGAAGTTGATGAGAAAGGATCATGAAGTAGAGGTATATCGATGATGAGAGAGAGAGAGAGAGAGAGAGAGAGAGAGAGAGAGAGAGAGAGAGAGAGAGAGAGAGAGAGAGAGAGAGAGAGAGAGAGAGAGACTGACAGACAGACAGACAGACAGAAAGACAGAGAGACAGACAGACAGACAGAGAGAGACAGACAGACAGACAGACAGACAGACAGACAGACAGACAGACAGACAGACATATATATATATATATATATATATATATATATATATATATATATATATATATATATATATATATATATATATATATATATATATGTATATATGTATATATATATATATATATATATATATATATATATATATATATATATATATATATATATATATATAGAGAGAGAGAGAGAGAGAGAGAGAGAGAGAGAGAGAGAGAGAGAGAGAGAGAGAGAGAGAGAGAGAGAGAGAGAGAGAGAGGGAGCGAGCGACCACTACGTAAATGTATTTCCACACATGTATGTATCCTGGTGTGTGGATGAGTGTACTTTTTGCGTGCACTTTTGACTCCCCGAAATTTGGAAGTCACATTTCATCCCAATTACCTGACGCTTTCCGGAAATAATGGGACCAAGAGGTAATCTCAGAGTGTGTTGTGACGTTTTTGTCATTGTCGTTGTTGTAGGAAATGAAAAGAAG